AGCTGGGAGAGGGGGGGGGGGGGGGGGGGGGTGTTCAGCCTGCCAACCTGGAGTTGCTCCGCCCAGCTCAACATGCTGCAGAGGGGCTTGCTGGGACATGAGGGTGCTACAGTACAGGGCTAGCAGGCAGGCAGGCAGCCCTGCACAATAGTACCCCCATGCCTCAACCAGCCCTGGTCACCTTTTACTCTGCTGCAACGCACGTGTAGATAACTCCACCGCAGGAGTGGTATTTGTCTGGCAGTACTATCCTACAGCAGAGTTACTTTACTCCAGCCTAATAGCACTGCATATGTGGATGGTGATGCTTTACTGTGGAGTTGGTCAACTCCACAGTAAAGTGCATGTGTAAATTCCTTCAAAATGTATTATTTGGAACCTTAGACTTGATGTCTTGTGTGGTGGTGTTGTGTTTGTGGGTCTTTTTTTAGCTGGCTGGTATGACTCTCCCATATGATAACCTTGATCAAATAAGGAACCGATTGGAGGAAGTGTCTCCTAACCTGGTCCGATATGATGATGTAGAAGCAGCAAATTACTTCAGTCAAGCAAATGAGCTGTCCAAGGTATAAATCATTTTTAACAATGAGTGTAACATTCTTTAAATCACTGAACATGTAATGATTTGCTTATGTAGTATAGTATATGCATCTAGAACTGGATAGCAACTGACCTTGAGGGGGGTTTTCTCTCAGGCAGGTGCTCTGTCCTGCTTCAAAGACAATTACTTCTCTTGATATGCTTTTTCTCTCATTGCAGTTAGTGAATCAACAGCTTCTTGCTGACCCTCTTGTTCCACCCCAGCTCACAATTAAAGACTTCTATATGACAGGTATGTGGCCACTTATGTGATGAAGGTTATACTTATTATTAATGGTAACTAATTATATACTTTGTGTGCTGTTGCCTTGGAGCCACACAGATGCATACATTTTCTAAAGATGCTACCAACAAATTAAGGGGTCTTAAAAAGAAGCTATTTTTAATCACCCTGACCTTGTTTTATCTACTATTATATGTGGTCTCTTAGACCTGGTTTGATAAACCTGTAATCTTTATTTAAACAAAACTCCCAAGAAGCTCAGAAGAAACCTGCTTGAAATAAGGTTTGTAGGATTAGGTTCTATATTTTATTTAACTGAGGAGAGGGATGGTTATGCAGTTTGTGTAGGGGAGGCTTTTAAGTTACCTGTATGCATTTGTATTGCCTGAAGTGAAGTGCACACATCTGTCTCTTTGCAGATCCAATCAGTAGAGCATCCCAGACAATGGCCAAGTGTGTGAAAGCTGTTGTTGAAGGTGCTAAGGCCGTAGAAGAGCCATCTTTCTGCTGAAGAAAATGATCATGCCACTCCCAAACGAGTTCTGGCAATATGTTGCTAATGTTCAAAAAACACCTTTAAGTGATGCTGTATTATGTTTTAGATTCATATCTTCACAAATATAGTACACATAATTTAATATTTTCAGGCTGTTGTCACTGTGTGGAGTTGTGCGCAGTGTTTATACCTAGAAACATTTTATGCAGCCATTGACTGTACAAACATGGTATGATGATAAAACATTTAATACCTATGACTGGTTTGGTTTATGGTTCTCTTGCATATAAATTTCAACAACCTAAGCCTTCAAGAAAGTTTAAATGGGAAAAATACTGGAAACATTGTGTCAGGAAGGCTAGTATCGAAAAATCCAGTTCTTGACTATTTTGAGCATTTTGAGGTTGCAAAGATCCAATTGTTGTATACCAAGGGGGAAACGTGTGCTTACTATACTGAGTAACACACTGCATACACTTACAAAAACTAGCTTTGGTTGGTTTTGGTGTTCATTTCATTTATCCCCTGCAGAAACATTTTACTTGCAAAAATTGTAAAATCTGTCTGACATCTTTTTCACAAACCTGTTCCACACAAAGTTGTCACAATTATACCTCCTTCCCCCCACCAATCAAGACTTAATATTATAAAGAAGATTCAGTGATTAGGCTGGCTTATCACCATAATACTTACAATCCAGACCACCTCTTCTCTGAGAACAGCTTTTCCAGCATTTGCTTCATGTCATTACAGAGTAAAAGATTTTGGCTTCAGAATAGATGACATTTTTAAGACGGTTGTAAACATTTGACTCCAAACTATGTCTCATCCACTTTAAAAAAAAGTCTCCAGTAACCAAGGTGTAAATGAAAACTGCCACAGTTGGCAAATGTTTAAATTTGCCAAAAGTAAGCTGAAAGAAAGTTCTTTAAGGTTATTATACTATTGTGAAAAGAAGTAGTGGCTCCTAGTCACTGTTCTTTCTGCAATCTGTGAATTCCAGATCTTTGGACCTGCAGCACTGCTGCTTTGACTGAGCAGCTTTGTGTTGCATGGGTAAAAACAATAAGATCACTCTTTAGTTACACAAGGAATAGCAAACTACTGCACCATGAGCAACTTGACTGTAAAATTCCCCTCTGGATGATCAAAGTCACCTAAGCATAAAGTGCTTCACTGAGACATGTAACTACAGTATAGTCTCCCATACAATGCGACAATGCATGGAATTCCCCAAAGCATGACTTTTTTTTCACTGTATCAGTTAAAGGCAAAGTTCTGTAGTCACTTTATAGTAGCTGTGAAATGTGGTCTGCAGGGAAGTGGAAATATGTACACTTGTATGCACACAGAGCACAAAAAGACGTGCTCTTCAATTCATGAACAGCATTGACTTTTTTCAGTGCTCAGCTTAAGAAAATTCACATCCTTCTAACACTGAAGAGACAAGATTGATTAAAAAAACATAATAATTGTGCCCTTGTTACCCACACTTACCTATTAATAAAACTACCATTTATGTCTCTTCACTGAATGAAAATACATTGGTTGGTTTCCTAGTATTTTGATGTTGGGGTTGTTCATAAAAGTGTCTGAAAAGTCGCACATATTTCTAACTTTTTAAATATATGATCTAAACTACTTGTATTTGGGTTCCGTTAATGTGATTTAAATCAGCAGAATTACTTTACAAAACCATGCTACAAACTGAAAAGTTCACAGTTGCTACTTATGGTTAATATATCTCAAAATTCCAAAGAAGTGGAAGTGTTTAACTTGTAAGAATTCTATTTTTAAACCAACATTCAGTTTTTTACTTAGTTTATCTGATGGTGTCTCAAATGCTTCAGAAATGGTTTTACCTCAGTGTTGCACGTTCTTTTGCCTCTTTTTCTGAAAGACTCATAAGTCACATGCTCACATGGCAGTCTCTACTTTTAGTAGTTTCTGGTCCTTGTTACAGACACTAAAGCAGTAATCCTCAAACTTTGTTTGGACTTAAGGCTTTCTTAAGATTCCTTTCTTGATTATGGGAAAGTAATAGAACAACTCTTGTGATTAACTTGGGCCACAACAAGTCAGAATATTTTAATGCTATGGCTTCCTGTTTGAAATGTCAGTTTATTTTGTGAATTGTATAGGTGTTTGCATACCTACCAGTGCTAATATAGTTCAGCATGCTTAAGAGGATCTTGCCACATCCTAGAGTAGTGTGGCACCCGCTTTGAGAATCACTACCCTACAGCTTAAAAACAAAACCCACTATAAATAAAAGCTGGTTTAAAATGTTTTATTAATAATGATATTTTATTGTTTTGAAGTCAGCAGTAGCATTCAGGGTTTTTCAAATTATTTCATGTTCACATGGAAACATCTTGAAAATTAAACAGTGACAACTGGGACAGTGGGAGAAAAGAGTGGGTCAGTTAACCAAGCAGTCTAGGGAACAAGCATCAGAAACACAATAAGAGAAAGATTATTAGAAAGTGGATTGACAATCAAAATCACGTTAGTATATCGTACTGCAGCAGAGTAAGTGTTAGAAATGTCTCTCTCCTTTGCATGAATGCTGCTTTGAGTTGGCTCAGAGTTGGACTACACTTCCTACAATGCAGCAGCTGTACCTTGTGTTTCCTGCGTTTGCAGCATCTTGCCCATCACATGATGAGTTATGCTTCTGAAGTCTCCACCCCTTAGAGGGAGGGAAGCATCTGTCCAATTGTTAAATGCCCACTTCACCCAACTCAGTAGTAGGTATTCTACCCTTCAGCTGATTATTTGTAAGCGTGGCACGGAAGGGACAACCTGGTATATTTCCAGTAGTGGTTTTGGAATACTTTTCTTCTTCCAGACAGCCCCAAGGCTGGAAAAAAACAAGGGAGTTTGCACTTTTTCTATGACTTAACAGTTTGAATTCAGTAGTGGGGGTAGGGTCAAATCCAAAAAAGGATTTAGTTAAACTTTAGGCCAGTTCTGTTTAAGCCCTATTGTGATCCAGAATAGCACCTTAGTACCTTGAAGGACCATATCTAGTAGGCATTTTCACAGCAAACCTAACGTGAAAAGTTTGGGTCTCAAAATAATGTAACTGCCTCTGTTCTATTTTAAACACAAGTGGAAGGAGAGAAAAAAGTGGTGCTCAGTCCCAGCTCCCAGAATTGCCCTCTGTAAGGGAGTGTCTTAACACTAAGGTAATGAGGGAGGCTCTCCTGTTCTGCCCTTGTCCCCCTCACCAGACTGTTCTCTTCCGTGTAGTGGCAAAGCTCTAACTACTGGACTATTATATAGGAGAGCAGCAGTGGCAAGCACCACCACCATCCTTGTTTTAAGAGTGAGCTCCAGCCAGCTCTTTCAAAGACTAGTTACAGGTAGGGCCCTGAGAAAATTGTGATTTTGTGGACTGTGCAGATACTGTAAAGTTAACGCCACACCATGATTTTTAAGGGTCACAGGACTGCCAGAAAAACTGGCAAAAGTGCAGGTTTCCCTTTCTAGGTAGGCAGCAGCCATATGCAGGCTGGAACGCTGGGGGCATGGCCAGGATGAAGTATATAGGGAGCAGGGGGGGTAAGAGGGGTTGGAATACCAGGGCTTGGGGACTGGTGGAGTGGGGTGGGGTTGGGAGGCAGTGTGTGCACCATGGATGGGGGAAGAAAATATTATTGGGGGGGAGGGGGCTGAGTGTACACCAACACATGCCCACCCAGCAGGTTAAGTCGGTGTAGAGGGAAGGGGCAGGGGGGCAGATTGAGGCCCCCAGGGTGAGAGAGGGAGTGGTGGGATGGTCAGAGCGTGGTTGCTCGTTCAAGGGTGCAGGGGAGCTCCCATCACTGCACGCACCCCAGGGGAGACCTGGGGGAGCATGTGTTCCCCTGGATTTGTGCGTGGGCTGGAGGTGGGCTGCCGCTGTGGGCTAGACTTGGCTCTGTGCCCTGCTGTCTTGGGAGCTGAGCGTGATGCCATGTGCCTGCCACTGCCAGATTGCGCTGTGTCCCCTGTCCGCCCAGAGGCAGCATGCACATGGCATCACGTGGCTTGCAAGGCAGCAGCAGCAGGGCACAGAGCCCAGTCCACAATGGCAGCCTGCCTCCACCCTGCACACAAAACCAGGGGGTATGTTCCCCCCATACCTCCCCCAGGGTATGTGCTGCAGCAGCAGGAGCCCCAACCCCCCATCCCCCCAGATGAGCTGCCCAGGCTCTGACTCCCACCACCCACCCTGGGGCCCCATTCACCTTAGTCCCTGCCCCACTCCCTCCCTCACTGTAGGGGCCTCGATCTGGCTCCCCCCACACCCCTTCCCCTTCACAGACTTGCCTGCTGTGGTGGGCAGTGCTCTGCATGCCGCCAGGCTGTGATCCTGGCTGCATACTGGCTGTGGATCCATGTCTGTGTCTGCGTGCCCCTCCCATGCCTGGGCTGCCCTGTGGCCCTCTGCGCTGCCACCACTGCCCCATATTTGGGGGTGCTAAGCCCTATTAGCCCTGGCCTTCTGCTGTCTGTGGTGCCTGCTGCACATGCTGGGATAAAGTATCATTTTTACAGAATATGCATGGAACTACCAGGAACCATTTGCCAAGATCAATGGTTATTCCATGAAAAATTATATTTTACCTGTGCACATGCCGCAAATTTTCTACAAGAAATCTGCAGTCTTCTCAGAGCCCTAGCTATAGGTGCCTCTCAGGAGAGGGTTCTGAAAAGCAGAAAATGGCAGACATGCCTCTGTGCTCAGCGTGCCCCATTGGCTGTTCTATGCAGCTCCTCACTCAGTATGTACATTTTTTAGTCTGGCCTTTGGAAATGTCTAATTTTGCCTACACAGAGAACCTAGATGGCTAATGCTAGATCCTGGAGTCCACTCAGGTGGTAGAAGCCTAAAAGGGAAGTGTCTGAGAATTTTGCTGAATCTGGCCCTAGTACTCCCTTCCCCCTCCCCCAAATAGTCTACAACTTAACTTGCAACCCAATAAAAGTACAAACCAGGCTGTCTTCACTAGGATTTACCTTGTTAGCCAAGGTGAGTTACAGACACATCCTTCTTCCCCTACATAAAGATGCAGCCAAACGAGAAAGGGAAGAAGGTTTTGAAGGGGTTTAAGTCGATTCAAATATTTCCTAGGGGCTTAAATTCTTCCCCGATGCTTCTGCAGGGGCCAGTGACTCTGACACTAAATACGTTGAATTAGTATGGTTTTAAAGAAGAAAAGGCAGTTCCTCTCATTAATATTTCTCAGCAAAGCTGCCCCTAGATTTTTTTCCCCCTGCAAGAAGAGGGAGAGTAACACACACACTGTATAAAAAAAATCTCCATGGGCCAAAGGGGAGAAGCAACAAAACCTTACTTTAACTTCTGTCCTCAGATATGTATCCCATAAAAATACTCCCTAGCATGGTCAACACATAACACAAACATTTATGGTATTTTTAAGGTAAAAATAATAGCATAAGCATACAACAATGCTCTTTCAATGAGAACTACTGGGCAAATTATCGTGTCATTCACAGTTACCACTGATACAATTCAATATTTTACATACATGGATTGCTTTAACTTCCAACTATCTGCATACAGCTTAAATTAAATGCATGCACCTTTGGGATGGAGGTGTAAGCTGCTACTGGACTACAGATGGTGAGAAGGAGAGAATATTTTCCTCAAAGACAAACCCTGACTCCTCCACATGTGAAGTGATTATACCCATGGAGATGGAATGCAAAGGAGACAGCACCTTGACTTGTAAAGTTCTACCGAAAAGAGAAAAAAAAAAAAAAAA